CTACTACAAAGAAGATGTCTTGTTGTTGATTTAGTCCTATAATTTTTCAACAAAGTTAGGCACATCTCATTTTCTTCAACAAAGTTGTCAATAAAGTTAGGAACCTCCCATTTTCTTCAACAAAATTGTCAACAAAATTAGGCACCTCCCATTTTCTTCAACAAAGTTAGGCACCTCCCATTTTCTTCTTTGTTTTTCTTTAATATGAGCCCCACAAATCTTTCCCTTAATTTTGATTTTTCTTTTTCATTCCAAGACTTGATCTCAATCTCTGAAAATCCTCAAACTTAAGAGGTTTTGTAAAGATATTTGCAGCCTGATCATAAGACTTCACATATTTGAGCTTGACTTCCTTATTGGAAATGCACTCTCTGATGAAGTGATATGTTATATCTATATGCTTGCTTCGATCATGATACACTGGATTCTTGGCGAGTGCCTGTGCAGATTTGTTATCAATACAAATCTCTGTAGCTTTAATTTGTGGCAAATTGAGCTCCTTCAATAATCTTCTTAGCCAAATAGCATGATAGGTACAGGATGTTGCTGCTATATATTCGGCTTCACAAGTCGAAAGAGTAACTATGGACTGTTTCTTTGAACTCCAAGAAATAACAGAATCACCTAAGTAAAACACAAAGCCAGTTGTACTTTTTCTATCATCAATATCTCTCGCATAATCACTATCACAAAATCCCATAAGGTTGAAATCATTAGAAGAAGAATAAAATAACCCAAAGTCGATCGTACCTTTTAGGTAACGAAGTATTCTTCTAGTGACTTTCAAATGGGTGGAGGTAGGAGCTTCCATGAAGCGGCTTACTACTCCAACTGCAAAGAGTATATCTGGCCCGGTATAAGTCAAGTACTTCAAACTTCCCACAAGGCTTTTAAAAAATGTGGGATCCATATTTTCTCCTTTATCAAACTTAGACTATTTTGTCTCACTCTCCATCGATGTGTTCACGGGGTTGCAATCGAGCATATTGAACTTCTTCAGGATCTTCTTTGTATAGCTTTCTTGAGAGATAAAAATTCCATCCTCCATCTGCTTCACTTCTAGGCCCAAGTAGTATGACATGAACCCTACATCTGTCATCTCGAACTCATGAGACATATCTTTCTTAAAAGCTTCAAACAAACTTGGGTTATTACCCGTAAAAATAAGATCATAAACAAGTAAGATATCTCCATTAGTATGAACTTTAAGGTAAAGAGTATATTCATGGAGACAACGAGTAAACCCATTGTTTTGAAAATATTTATCGATGCAACTATTCCATGCTCGTGGGGCTTGCTTTAATCTATATAAATCTTTCTTTAACTGCAACACTTTATCTTCATGGTTTTTGACCACAAACCCAATGGTTGTTCAACATAGACTTCTTCTTCAAGATAGCCATTCAAAAAAGCTGACTTGACATCTAGTTGATGGATCTTCCACTTTATTTGCGCCGCCAAAGAGATAAGCAAATGAATTGTCTCCATGCAGGCAACATGTGCATAGACTTCTTCATAGTCAATGCCTTGCCTTTTCTTGTAGCCTTTAGCCACAAGTCGTGCCTTGTATCTCTCCACATCTCCATCAGCATTCTTCTTTGCCTTGTATAACCATTTAACTCCAATTGCTCGATGACCCTTGGGAAGTGTTGTTAACTCCTAAGTGTTGTTCTTCTCTATTGACTCGATCTCCTCCTACATGGATTGTCTCCACCTTTTGTCTTCAACAGCTTTATCAAAGTTCATTGGTTCACTATCAGCAAAGAGACAATATAAAAAATCAAAATTAGTAACTTCCTCTATGTCCTTATAGAGTTCTTGAATACTCCTTGTCCTTTGCGGTTGTTCATTTGAACTTTCTTGAGAAGAGGGAGATGCAACATTTGTTGGAGAAGGAGGTGGAGTTGTATCCTGTACAAGTTCCACGGTCTCTGGTTCTTCTTCATCACCAAAGTATGGAAGAAAATCATATAAAGTTTCATCCTGAGCTTCCCAGTTCCATGCCAATTCTTCATCAAATTCAACATCGCAACTTACCACCATCTTGCCGCTACTTGGGTTGTATAGCTTGCAGCCTTTTGAACTCATATCATAGCCAACAAACACATGCTTGACACTTCGATCGTCAAGCTTCGCTCTTCCTTGATGTGGCACATGAGCATAGGCTATGCTCCCAAAGATTCTCAAGTGCTTGACACTTGGCTTTCTTCCACTCCATACTTCTTGAGGGGTTTGATCTCTAACATTCTTTGTTGGAGACTTGTTGTTAAAATAAACTGCACAAGATACAGCTTCTGCCCAAAATATTTTGGGCATATTTTTAGCTTTTAACATACATCTAGCCATATTAAGAATCGTTCGATTCTTTCTCTCTGCAACTCCATTTTTTTGGGGTGAATAAGGTACCGTTAGAGGGCGACGAATTCCATAAGATTTACAAAAGTCATTAAATTCTTTTGAAGTGAATTCTCCTCCTCTATCGGACCTTAAAGCTTTTATTTCATAGCCACTTTCTTTTTCTATAAGTACTTTGAAATTTTTAAAAGTAGCCAAAGCTTCAGATTTTTGGTTCAAGAAATAAACCCAAGTCTTTCTACTAAAGTCATCAATGAAAAATAGAAAGTATTTACTTTTACCAAAGGAAGGTGGATTGATTGGTCCACACACATCAGTGTAAACAAGCTGAAGCGGCTTGGTTGATCTTGACATGACCTCCTTTGAAAAACTCCTCGCATATTTTCCAAGAAGACAAGTTTCACACAATTGATTGGGATGGCTTATTGATGGTATCCCATGCACCATGTTCTTTTCTCCCATTGATTTGAGCGCTTCAAAATTTAAGTGCCCAAATCGCATGTGCCAACACCATGATTCATCTTGCACATTAGCCTTCAAACACTTTGCATCAATTGTCTTAAGATTCAGAGAGAATAATCTATTCTTAGCCATATGCACTTTAGCAATTAGAATTCCACTTGAATCTCTAAGCCAAAGATGCATATTTTTCATGTGGATGTCATATTCCTTTTCAAGAAGTTGGCCCAAACTCAAAATATTACTTTTTAATTTTGGGACATAATAAACATCTTGAATTAACTTGTGACTACCATCTTTACAGGAGATCAGAATCATACATATCCCTTCAATTTGAATCTTTGAGGTATCTCCAAAGGACACATTACCTCTCACAGTTTTATTGATCTCTATAAACTTCTCTTTGCATCCACACATATGATTGCTTGCTCCATTGTCCAAATACCACGAGCTGCAATCATCCTTATCTTCTTCCTTGAGTGCCATCAACAGCGTTGACGCAACTTCTTCTTTCTTGTCGTCAACAAGGTTAGCTTTTTCTTCAACATTGCTACGACATTTTCAAGAGTAATGGCCAAATTTATGACAATTATAACACCCAATTTTTGATTTGTCATACCTTTGTCCATTATTTTCTTGGTGGTAGCCACATCCTCTTCATCCTCTATGTTCACGCCCACGACCTCTGAATGTCTGGTGGATTTTAACTTCATTGTTGAAGTTGTTAGCGTTGCTTCTTCCTCTTCCATGACTGCCACGACCTCGTCCTTGTCCATTCTCTCGATAGCTCTTTTCACCTCCATAATCTTTGAAGGATGCTTGAGTTTTAATAAGGTGCTCCAATGACACTTCTTGTCTCCTCTTGATCTTTTCTTCATGGGCCTGTAAAGAACCCTCCAATTGCTCTACCATCATAGAGTCTAAATCTTTAGACTCCTCAATAGTACATACCACAAAATTAAATTTAGGTGTTAAAGTGCGAAGGATCTTTTCTACCACATAGACATCTTTTATGTCCTCCCCATATCTTCTTAATTGATTTACAACAGCCTTCACTTTTGAACAATAATCTGAAATGCATTCGGATTCTTTCATTTTTAAAACTTCAAAATCAGCCCTTAGAGTTTGAAGTTTTACCTTCCTCACCTTGTCAACTCCTTGAAGAGAATTTTGTAAAATCTCCCAAGCTTCCTTTGAGGTGGTAGCATCTGCCACCTTCTCGAACATGGAATCATCCAGACATTGATGGATGAGCATGAGGGCTTGTTGATCCTTCTTCCTTGTCTTTGCTAAGACATCCTTTTCATTTTGAGGCAAAGCTTCCTCATTATCGGGTTTTGCATACCCTCTATCTACGATTTTCCACACATCCTGAGAGCCAAGAATGACTTTCATACGTAGATACAATTTCTCATAATTATCTTTTGTGAGACGGGGTACTGAAAATACAACGTACCATTATTTGACATGGCTCTGATACCACGTTGTTGGGAAAAATAATAATCCCGCACATGAATAATATCCACGACAAATAATAATAACACAAGAGAGTAACAACGATACCAACTCTTTTAATGGGTAAAATACAATACTCGAGCGGAGCAATATAACCACTATAATATTACAACTTAGTAGTGTCAAGAGACTACTACAATCTTGAAAGAAATAACACTCTTTATTTAAAATACTTCACTACAATATTACTCACACTCACTATTTATCTCACAGACTACAATCTGTGGATTACTCTCTCTAACTTCTATTGCTTCTCTCTTATTTTGGTGTGATTGAAATGAAGAATTGAGGCCTCTATTTCTAGTAAGAGATGTCATTCAACTACTACAAAGAAGATGTCTTGTTGTTGATTTAGTCATATAATTTTTCAACAAAGTTAGGCACCTCCCATTTTTTTCAACAAAGTTGTCAATAAAGTTAGACACCTCCCATTTTTCTTCAACAAAGTTGTAAATAAAATTAGGCGCCTCCCATTTTCTTCAGCAAAGTTGTCAACAAAATTAAGGTACCTCCCATTTTTTTCTTTGTTTTTCTTTAATATGAGCCCCACACTTATAACCCTCACTTTTAAGGAAATAGTTCAACATAATCGTTTTGAATAGAAAAAATAATTCCACAAATATTTTTCAACTTTTTACATATAAAAATGATCTTAAATGTTTTTTAACATAAAACTAAAAACAGATAAGGTTCATATCACAGAAGCAAGAAATCCCAAAAGGAAGGTTCACCTCACAAGTATAACAAACTTGAACATACAATTCCAAACACTTCCTTTCTTTCAATCATTCTTGCCTGAAACATTTCCAGGAACATTCAAAACACTAGATCCCAATATATATGGCTCACACTATGGCTTCTATAGGCGGACTAATTGGTTCTTCTCAAGCTATAATGGAAGGCAGTCTCCAAATCAGTGGCTCAGTTGGCTTGAGAATCCCAAAAACCAGTAGAATTTCCTTGGCAGCTAAACCATGTCTTTGTATTAGAGCTCAGCAGGGATCTGCTCATGAGACTGAAACCAGTCGCAGAGCTATTCTGGGTATTGTTGCTGCAGGTTTAGGTTTAGTTTGTGGGTCATTTGCTCAATCAGCTTTTGCAGAAGCTAGATCTATCAAGATTGGTGGCGCTCCTCCTCCCTCCGGTGGACTGCGTAAGTCTAGTAGTACTGATGCTGCAATTGGTTGTTGATTCTACAGGTCTTAAATGGGTAAAAATAGCACACTAGCCAGTTTTTGGACTGATAATTGAAAAATAGATGGTCTTTACGAAGCCATCGAAAAATAGCCACTATTTTATTTAAACACGAAAAATTTCACTACAATATGCGATATTATGGAACTCCTGAATATAAACCTCCAACATATTATGTTGTAATTTCAGCACACAAAAAGTTTCAGCATAATATGCTGAATTATGGAGCTCCTGCATATAAACTTCTCGCATATTGTGGTAGAACTTCAGAACATTATGCTGAAAGCTCATGTGTAAAAACTTCGAACTCCAACATATTATGTTTACATGCTGGAATATTTTCGGATTTTTAAGGATGTTTTTGTTCAAATTTTATCTTTAAATGAAAAAGTGACTAAAATTTGATTACTTTTGAAATGGTTACTATTTTTTCAATTACCTATTATAAATCCGGTTATTTTTTTATTCCCCTGCCCCCTAAATGGACGAGTTTTATCAACTTTGAGCGGGTTAAAATCCGATCAAGTTAATACAAGGATCACAACTTAATCCGTCCAAACTTTGGTTGGGCCCATATGAATTAGGTTAAAATGGATCAAATAACCCAACTGGTACTAGGTGACCAACCTCTCCTCTCTTTTTCTTTTTTTTGTTGATAAAATTCATCCGAATTGAAGTAATTCAACTAGGAGGAGGGCAAGAACAATCTTTTACACTTTTACACTTGGGGTGGGTGAGTTAGCAAAAGTATATGCATATGATGTTGTTCCTACTTTTAGAGGCAGCCTAAACTTCAAATTTAGTCTTTGTTACAATTCATGTACTATTGTCTCTAGAGGCATAAGCAGGAGAATGATCCAACAGTTCATTAGTAAAGAGAATGGTAAAAGAGTATGCAAAGCTAATCTGCTCTTTAGCGTCTATTGAATTTGTCCACTCAAGCTGGGAATTCGGGTTTTTGGCAGCTGGAACTTTGAACTCAGATCAAGCAAGAGACCTTAAGTTACCATTAAAAGATAGATTCTACCTCCAACCACTAACACCAGATCAGGCAGCACAGAGAGCTAAGGAATCAGCCAAGGATATTATTAATGTCAAACAATTCATTGACAAGAAAGCTTGGCCTTATGTCCAGAATGACCTTCGTCTCAAGGCAGAATATCTTCGTTATGATCTCAAGACTGTCATTTCTGCTAAGCCGAAAGACGAGAAGAAACAACTCCAGGAACTGTCAGGGAAGCTCTTCAAGGCCATTAGCGATGTAAGTTGAGATTTATATTCTTGTTTACATAAAAGGTTTTACTTACATACACTGAAACTATACATAATCTTTTGCATTAGTGATGCAATTTAGCATGTTGTGGTATGCTAGCTGCTAGGGGTGGGCATTCGGGCAATTCATATTGGATATAAAAATTTCGATTTTCAGATTGAAGAACAATCCAAATCCAATCGAAATAAACTCGGATTGGATCAGATTTTTTAAGTTCAATTTCGGATTAATCGGATTGGATATTTTGAATTTTCGGTTTTGAGCTTATAAGTTGAGATGTTTCTTCTTTTCACAAAAAATGAATATCCAAATGAATTGCTCGTGTTAAATTGCCTGAAAATTTCCTCATTCTCACCGCAATCATCTAAATAAAGTATTCAAGTAATAAAATTATTATCAAGGAAATGCAACAGAGACATTAATATGGCCAATAAGAAGTAGCAATAGTAAAAACATGTCCAAATAGAAAGTATTCTCACATTAACTTAGTAATTGATATTGAATTTGTGAGATAATATCTAATGATTAGGGTATTGAACTTATTACTATTGGCATATGGATAATGGACTAAATATAAAGTATAAAAATTTCAGATTCTCGAATATCCAAAAATCCGAAGTACCAAATCCAATATCCAATCCGAAATCCAAAATTTTTAAAAATTAAATTCAAAATCCAATCTGTAATCCGAAAATCCAAACCAAAAATCCAAAAAAGTGGGATTTCGGTTTAGATTTCGGATTTGCCCAAACTATGCCCACCCCTACTAGCTGTTGCCTTTATTTTCTAAGTAATTAGTTCCATTTATCATGGACAGCTAAGCAGAGGCGGATCCAGAATTTAAACTCTCTATAAGTTTAATTTTTAAGGTTTGTAGTATTGAACTCATTATAATTTTTAAAGTTATGAATTCATATATACTATTTTTGCAATTTTAATGAATAAATTTTTGCTCTGCGTCGATAAGTTATGGGTTCAAGTGAATCCGTCGTTAGCACACCATATCCGCTCCTACAGTCACATGTACTTATCTTTTAGATGATGTTATAATATAAAAATTATATTACATAGGCAACGTAATCTTTTAGATGATGTTATAATATAAAAATTATATTACATAGGCAACGTACAGAAGTTAAATTCTGACATAAATGGCACTCAGATTTTTCCTTTATGTTAATAGTGATGATACTCAGATGGATTATTCAGGTTTTCTAGTTTTGCTAATATTATTCTTCTTTACATATCCTCAGCTCGACTATGCAGCAAAGACTAAGAACAGCGCGCAAGCCAAGAAGTGTTATGCAGAAACTGTATCTACTCTGAATGATGTTTTGGCCAAGCTTGGCTAGTTAGAATGCAGTATGTACCATTTTGTAAATATCCATATAAGTTAAAGAGAAAACTTGCTGAATTCAATTTTTAAGAGAGGTTTTGGCAATATGTTCAAAACTAAAATATTTCAGCATTCACACATCTAAGAGCCTCAACGTAAGTCCTTGTATGGGACTAATTTACTTAGCTAAGTTGTGGAGGACACTAACTAGTTAGATTTTTATTAACTCAAGCATGGTCCATATCTTCTAACTAGTATCTTGGTGAGCATAAACATTTAAGAATCAGATAAATATTAACGTTTTGAGTTATAAAATAAGTTAAATTATATTAGGACACAGATATGCAGGAAATTCAAAAGTTAAAGCGAGATATCATAGTAAGGTTTCACTATGGCAGCATTATTCTCCACTTCTTACACATGTGCTCGCTTAAGCAAATACACGTATAATACACGTTTATAATGTTGCCATAGTGAAACCTTACTATGAAGATCATACTTTGCAGTGGAAAAAAGAAAGAAAGAAGAAATTGCATAAAGTAAATTAAAAGGTAAAAGATAAGGCATGATACCATTTTGTGACATGTTGTGTTGTTTATACGATTACTCCTCTTCACTCTATACATAGTTCGTTAGAGAGTCATGACAAAGCATTGATTTTGGAAAAGAATCTATGCTTATGTAGTGTGGAGGAATAGGAAAAAGAAAGACCAAGAGTCCAGAAACTTAATCAAGAGTAGTGGACAAGGGCCGTGCGTAATTTGGTAAATACTGAATTACCGTACCGAAATCAAAAATTTTGGTATTCGATATTTTGGTATTTGGTTTAAATTTTAAAAAAAAATTGGTATTAGGTATGGTATTTGGTATTTTAAAATAAAATACTGAAATACCGATACCGTACCGAAATATATATTATATTACACAATACACATATTATTAATTAATAACATAAATATAAGAAATCTAAAATTTTACTTTCCTTTATTCCCTAAGTTCATCTTAACTCTAAGCAAGTAACAAGACATTTCTAATGATCAAATTTACTCTTTTATGTAAAGTTTTCTCTCTCTGGGTTAGTATTTGTTGGTTTTGGACAAAATTTTTGTCAACAAACGTTTTTAGTTTTGTACTTTCGAGTACTTTAATTAAGAATATTACCGTTTATGACTCTATTCACTAGTTAGTATTCAAACCGAATAAACCGAAGTTACCGAACTGAATAAACCGAAACCGAAAGGAGAAAAATCGAACCATACTGAATTTAATTAAGTACGGTATTGGTATAGCATTTTAAGAAACTGAATACTGAAAATACCGAACCTAAATGTCTAAATACCGCACCGTAACGACTGACGAACACCCCTAGTACCTAGTAGTGGAAGAGCTTTACAATGTTAATACAATATTTAATCATTATAATATTATTGTTGTGTTATTTAGGTTTGCAACATTATTCATTTGAAGACGAAGAGAGTAAGGCGTAACAAAAAGAACTTGAAAAGTCATGAGTTTTGGCTATTTTAAGGTAGCCCATAAATGGAAAAATAGGGGAAAAGGCAAAAATTTCAGAAAAAGAAAAATATTCATTCAAATCCAAGATAATTATAGATTTCTATTTCACTTAGCTTATATATCTTGCTTTGAATTAAATTTCTTGCTCATCCTACCATGTACTTTGTTAATCATGAATTACCATATACTTCGTAAATGAAAATTATTTATATATTAGAAATGAGTATTGCATATATTATGCATCAAATACAAGAAAACAAAAAGATGAACAAACACTCCAAATAGGTGTAACGGTTTGCCAAATAATATTATATCAATGAGTACGTCATAATTTGAATTCAATAAGGTGTAAATTTCTTATATACTTTTTGAAAGAATAATTTAATTTTATAGATATTTATCGTTTATTGGAATGTAAATTTACTTTTTGGTACAAAACTATTATAAGAATGGTAGTGTTTAAAGGAAGGGTAAAATGGTCTTTCAAATTCTGATGGATATTTTGGTAATTTAATTTTAACTTTAGAACTTCCCACTTATAATATAGTACGATGATTTCAACTTTAGAGCTACTCACTTATAATATAGTATATTATGATAGTTGTTTTGTTTGTCTGTATCAAATAATGTATAGTTATTTTTGTTTACCCTTAAATATGAGTAACAATTAGATTTGTACACGGTTTTAAAGATACGTGATTTAATTCAATACGAAGGATCTAAGAACAACAAGTAATTAAATTAAAGAAAGAATGAACAATTAAACCAATCGTAATGTAACGATCAAGCATGATCTTAAGTTGAATACTGAAATTCGGTCTCGATCGGACCTTGATATAAGCTCGGTTGCGATTAAAGAAGGGAATAACTGAAGAACACTTTGAATAGTAGTTAGAAGACAAAAATAAATTTTTATTGCTTTGATATGTGTGTCGACAGTGTGTTAAAATGAAAATTTTCTCCCCTTTATATAGTAGGGGAATTTCAGTCCTAATAAAAGTCTAAATAAGGTAAAAAATCTTCTTTTTTCGGTAAATATCGATCCGCAGTTGATATCGGACGAGATTCGGGCCGTAATATCCGGTTCAGGTCGAATATTACGGCTCTTTACTTGTCATGCCCAATTGTTCCTTTTTTTTCCGTGGTCTCGAAACTTTACTTGGTCTGGGTCCGTTATTTCATCGTGCCCGATCCTAGACACATCGGTCACTCCTCCTGAGTTCCGGTACGAGGGATCCTTCGACCTTGCTTGTAGTTGCGTCGAACCGTGCTCTCCTCTCGTTTCCTTATTGGGGAATCAAAGAAAACATTGCCCCTGATTTTATCCGTACACAATTTTATAAAATGATTATTTTGGTGATAGTATTTGGGATATTCTATTTGAGTTAGTTCATTAATCTTGACAAGTAATCCATTGACGTGAGAGATAAGAATTTGATCAAAGTGGGGTTCCAAGAATAGTTGGAAATGCTAATTTTTAGAAATTCCAGATAGGAAAATAAGTAATCATTTGGGAACAGACTAAAAATAATTTTATCACATAATGGGACATAGGGATAAGACTACTTTAACTCAACCCAGGGGCATATCCAGTGAGTGAAGCTATGGGTTCATATGAACTCATAGCTTCGCTCACATACCCTGTATTTTTGTCCAAAAATATATTAGATATCTATATATAAATAATAAATGTTGAACTTATTAGATTAGATAAGATGTGATAGAATTGAGAATTTGAACCTATAAAATTTAAATCTTGAATTAGTTTCTGCGCACCCCAATGTATTAAAGCTAGCAACACCTTTATAAACTAAATATGAGCGCTAAAAGTAGTCTACAACACGACTAAACTATCCATTTCCAGGATAAGACTTAGTTTTCATCAAGTGCTATATAATGCCACTAATTACGTGTAAGAAACCTTTCCCTTGCAAATTAAGCATTTTCAAGCGATTAGTCCAACTTCTAGAAAGTGATTGAAAAAATGGGCAAAGGTTCAAATATACTCTTATATTATATGAAATTGAGCATATTTGTCCTTCGGTAATATTTCAGTTTAAATATGCCCTTACCGTCACATAGTTAGTCCATATATGCTCTTAGAGTTACACAGTTGGCCCATATATGCCATTTTCGAAACGGAATTCACCCAAACTAATTAGCTCTTTTTTTAATTGTATTAAAGTGTATTACAAACACTATTTCCTTTTTATTAGTACTTTTTTTTCTTTACCTTTCTCTTTTCTTTCATCTTTTTTCTTTTCTTTTCTTTTCTTTTTTTTTCTTTTTCTTTCTCCCTTATCCGATTTCCTCCATTACTGATGTCTTCTCCATTCTCATCACCAATTTCACTTGACAAAACTCATAAATTCCAACTACTAAGAAAATTCTCCTATAAGGTAATCAAGTTCCAATTTCATTGGCCCTCTAAATAAATGAAATGAAATTATTTCAAAAATTATGGTTTAAACTTTAAAATAATAAAAACATCTCAACCTTTAACAATACTCAAAAGACCAAAATATTCAAATTATTTCCAGAAAGATAATTTAATAATTAAAAGTCTAGAGTTCAAGATGTAGTGTTATAAATTTGAGTTGTTAGTCTTTTTTCAGCTGGACATTTTCTATTTTTTTTATTAACTATGTAAATTAGGGGTGTACATGGAACGGGTTGGTTCGATTTTTTTTATCAAAATCAAACCAAACCAATTATATCGGTTTGGATTGTTTGATTTTGTTGGATTTTTGGATTTTTTGTTACATAAATATTATTTCAATCTTACTTTGTTAAATTTTTTAGAACTAAATATATGTTCAGTAGAAATTAAAAAATTAAAAGACATATGATCTATAAAAATATTCTTATAGGAGAATTTTCTTAGTAATTGGAATTTATGAGTTTTGTCAAGTGAAATTGGTGATGAAAATGGAGAAGACATCAGTAATGGAGGAAATCGTATAAGGGAGAAAGAAAAAGGAAAAAAAAAAGAAGAAAAGAAAAAAGATGAAAGAAAAGAGAAAGGTAAATAAAAAAAAGTACTAATAAAAAGAAAATAGTGTTTGTAATACATTTTAATATAATTAACGAAAGAGCTAATTAGTTTGGGTGGATTCCGTTTCGAAAATGGCATATATGGGCCTACTGTGTAACTCTAAGGGCATATATGGACCAACTATGTGACGGTAAGGGCATATTTGAGCTAAAGTATTAACGAAGGGCAAATGTGCTTAATTTCGTATAGTATAAGGACATATTTGGACCTTTTCCGTTGAAAAATTAAAGATGAGCCAAAAAGCCGCCCCAACCGTACGTAACTCTCTTCAAGGTCTTCAACCAAAACGAAACACTTAATTAGTTACACTGAATTTATTACCACATGATAAGGCAGGAAAATTTTCAAGTCTCCAAAATCAGAAATGCAGCAACCTTTCAGGAGTTGCTTCTCCTTGTTGAGATATGTGTTGTCATGACCCAAGATCCACGTGACCGGCACTCGATACACTATCCGATCCGAGCGAACCAAACATATATGTAACTCCCCTCTTATTGCATGCGGAAGTCTATTAAAACATAAATATTTTTAAACAATAAATATCCATGCATAAAACTTAACCTTTAAAAT